TTTATACTGACCAGCTTGGTGCTCCAGCTGGTTATCTACCAACCTAAACTCCAGCTCACTGAGAACTGTGTATGCTTATGATTTCACAATTGATCCAACAGTATGGAAGTTTTGCACCTATAGACTTTTTGGTAACTTTTTTGATATTACCATATCTGATGAATCAGTAAAGTGACCCTGATATTCCCTAATGGGAAAAGATTTGTGACTGATTCTTCTATGTTTATAGAAGTCTGCAGTTGCCAAAGCAAAATAGTGTGATTATCAATGTTCAAACACTAAACTGCATTTATTTTGCCTTTTAATTACTTTATTCTGTATATTTTTAATTGATATGCATGTTGATAAATTGTGTTGAAAAGCCACCTAATCTGCTTATTTTATAAATAATCCTCCTTCGACCTGCCATGGAGTGCTACACTGGCTGGTAAGCACTAAAGCCCAGTAACCTTGTTAAGTGTACATAACAACAACTCTCTTGAATTATAACCAGTTGAATACAGAAGACAATGAATATGCTGCTTCATTTAAGCCACCATAGTAGCTTGTATCTAGTAAGTATTGCATTCAGTTCAGGGGACCATCCTTTATAGTTTTGTGACAAAAGTGATACCTTGCACTCTTCTATCTGTGGAACTTCATTTTGTATGTTTTTCATTTAATCCATTGTTATGCAACTGTTCTGCAATTGGACAGACAGAATAGTGTGACTTTGCTTGGATAGTAGGAATAGAACCTGTTGTGAGCTCAGTATATGGGATGGTGTGTGAAAATGATGAAAAACATAGGTTCTGGTTTGGCAAAATGAGGGCTGGCTATTTTGACTTGGTAGGTAATCATGAATGGGAAAAACAGTGGAGGAAAATTTTCTTGGTGTCAAAGTCCATCAGCTCTCTTGACTTGTGTTTTCTTTTTGTAATAAAGGGGCAGAGGAGTTTATGGAGACAGTCAGCAGTGTTGGCAAGAAGCTAGAGATTATTTCTGTCGAACCACTTTGCTATTTCACAACTGGATCTCTTAGAGCAAAGCCTGATGGTACTTAATATGGTCCATCCAGATTTGCCAATAATGTTTTTAAACCAGTTGTGCATGCAATAACATGTTGGAAGTACCTGTCTTTGATTTATTTGAACATGGGAAAACATCACTCTGCTCATTGGATACAGGACGTAATGCAGAGCAAGTACACAAAAAAGAATTCTCATCCTCCATGTTGCAAATATCTTGGTCTTATCCTTCTAGCTTCCTGTATGTTCCAGTCATATCCTGAAACAAATTTTAAAGTTTCTAGTTTTGCATGTGATTCCCTTGGCTGTTCTTTAGAATCTATAGCTTTGTCTTGCCTCTTATTCTTTTGACACTTTCTATTGAAATATCTGAATCCAGTTCACTATTTGCAACGGATAACTACCATTAACCTCAACTTTTGTTTCTAAATCTTTGTCTTTTCTCTGTAATCTACTATCTCTCCACTTTTCTATGAAGCAGAATCTGACTCCATATCCATGTTTGCTGCTCCCCTTTTATTTTGAGGCAATGCCCCCTTGTTCTAGTTTCACCTACCAGTGGAAACAACCTCCCTGTTTCTATCTTATCTATTCCCTTAATTTTACATTTCTATAAGATCCTCTCCTCCTTTTTAAATTCCAATGAATATTGTCCCAGTCTTCCCTCTCCCTCTCTGCTTTGCCTTTCTTAAAGTCTGAATTAAATATATCAAAACTCCCTTTTTTGTTTTAGTTGGTATTCTTGGTCAGCTGGGATATATTTTTTCTGCTGTTTTAGTACTGATCTGCTATTCCCCACCCCACTTTATATTTTGTAGGGTGCTTACCATCCAGTCACACACATTTATACATTGGCAGATGTAAAAATGGTTATCGAGTATGCTCGTGAGAGAGGGATTCGGGTCATCCCAGAGTTTGACACCCCCGGGCACACACAGTCTTGGAAAGGTGAGTGGATTATTACCTAAATAAGCAATTTGTCCTTTGTTTTGTCAACTAATAAAGTTAGAAAGGCAAGATATGAGCTTTTCTAAGCAATGCAGCCAAGGATGTTGGTGAATGTACTAGTTATTTGCAGTTCATCTTCATTTTTGGAACTTTTAAATATCACAGCCTGTTTGTACTGGAGATGCATTTGTAATCAATGTTCAGCATCTGGACTTTTTCTCTATTCTTGTAGAAACTTAAACTTGCCTTTGTCTAAAATAAAACTTGGTATTGGTTTATCAGAATATTTTTGGATATTTTGTAATAATGAAAAGAAAATAATTTTAAACAAGTATTTACGTTAAATAAAACCTATCCAAAGATCAAATTCTTTTAGCCAGGAGTATGGGGTGCAGCTGAGCTTAGCACCCTGCCTTCTTCAGTGCTCAGTTTTCTTGACAGCTATTCTTACTTTGTGCTCTAATTCTAAAGCCAGGTCCAGAGAGGGAGAAGAGATTTTAGTTGTCTGAGCATTGTCATAAGAATACTAAGTGTACTGTAATTCATTGCTGTCTTGGGAGTGGTATGGGTGGAGAAAAAAGGTGGATCTAAGGTTCTAGAGAAGATCTCTTCAATTTCCAAATTCGGGTCCCAAAGTCACTGTACAAACCTGCCCTCACTGCTTTTTCAAATAGTACTATCAGTTTATTAACTTATTTTAAAAAGGAAAATTTAACTTGGAAGCACACTACTATGTAAAATCTGGATTGGTTAAAGTCAACGTAATGGAATGTGAAGTGACACAGTAAAATGTTGCCCTTTCACTTTTTTTTTCTGAGGTGTCCCAGGTGTCATAATCGACTTTCACTTAATACTTGGTCTGAACAATAGTAAGGCTTTACTAGGAAAGTGTAACATGACAGAAGGAAGAAAGGGCTAGATTGTAGTTTGACTAATAACATTTGAGGCCAAGTGGCAGTGCCGTCCTCTACATGTAGCCATGCTGGCCTAACCTAAATGTTTATCTGATACTCTTGCTTAGAACACTTCTACAGGGACAGGAGTAGGTTATTCAGCCTCTTGAGCCTGTTTTGCCATTTAACAAGATCATAGCTGATCTGTTGTCTAACTCCATATATCTGCCTCTGGCTTATATCCCTTAACTTTTGCTTAAAAATGATCTATCTCAGATTTAAACTAACAAATCGATCTACCATCAACTGCCACTTGTGGAAGAGAGTTCAAAACCTCTACCTCCCTTTGTGTTTTAGAAATGCTTCCTGACATCTCTCCTGAACGGTCTAGTCCTACTTCTTAGATTATGCCCCTTGTTCTAGAGTCTCCAACTGAAGGCAATAGTTTATCTTTGTCTACCCAGTCTTTTTCCTGTTATAATTTTGAAGACTTTGATCAGATCATCTCTTAAGCTTCCAAATTTTAAAGAAAACAGGACTAACTTGTATGACCTCTCCTCAATTTACCTGGACTTCGGGTATTAAAGTTATTGTACTTGTAAAGCTACATTGTACTCCTTCCAAGGCCAGTATATCCTCCATAAAATGAGGTACCCTGATCTGCTCACAGTACTCTAAATGGTGCCTAACCATGTTTTTATGTAATTGCAGCACAACTTGTGCATCCTTGTACTCGGGTTCTCTGGATATAAAGGCCAGCATTCCATTAGCTTTCTTGTGTTTTTTTTTTTTTTTTTTTTGCATCTGTTTGTGGCACTTTAAGATCTATGCACCCGAATCCCAAGTCTCATTGGGCGTAAAAAGTACCTCAAACTATCCTTTTTCAGACCAAAATGGACAACCTCTCACTTGCTTCTAATGAACTCCATTTGCCACTGTTTTTCCCACTTGCCTAGTTTATCAATGTTGCTTTGTAACTTTGTGCTATTATGTACACTGTCTACAATGCTTCCTAACGTTGTATCAACAGCAAATTTGGATAAGTGATATTCTATGCCATTCTCCAAGTCAATGTGAACAATTGAGGTCCTAACATGAGCCCTCATGTGACACCACTGCTCACATCCTACCAATTTGGGTACTTATACATTATATGTATTTTGTCACCTGCCATTCAATCAGTTTCCCAGCTGTATCAAGTGATTTGCCCTCAGTTCTCTCAATTAAAGCCTATGTTGGGCAACAGAACAAAAGTCTGCTGTCTTTACGTGAATAGCTTTTTAAATTAGGGTAGTTTTGTTGTCAATTAGGAAGAATATAATTGCATAATTTTAAATGAACAATTGTGCTGATTTTGCTGAAGTAATGAAACCTCCTTTTCACTTTTATCTAGGCATAAAAAACCTTCTTACTCCATGTTATAATGGTGAGAAGCTTTCTGGAACATTTGGACCAATAAATCCTTCTTTAAATACAACGTATGAATTTTTGAATCAACTCTTTAAAGAGATCAGCTTGGTGTTTCCAGATGCTTATGTCCATTTGGGAGGTGATGAAGTCAGTTTTGCATGTTGGTATGTAAACTTGTTAATTATTTTCCCTGAAATTTGTGCCTTAGTATCCAGTCATTGCTGGTACATAGTTTAATAAATCTCCTTCAGAAATAAGGAAGGCAGTATCTCTTAATGAAGAACCAAAAACGCACAGCAGTTTACTTTTCAATAGTGCTCCTGTCCAGAAATTTGTTCCAAGTTCACAGTTAAAACAAGATCAAGCTACCTGAAATCAACCTCCACCTCTTCAAAGTGTTACGTCAATATTTCTTGGAGGAAGTTCTCAGTAAAGTGACGGCGCAGAATACATTTTTTGAATTTGGAATTTATCTGCTGAATAGCTTGGTGACAGTACTACAAAGGGTGTTTCTACAAAGTTACAAGATAACGGCCAATTTGTTCCAGCAGTATCTGTCCACTAATATCATAAGTTAAAATCTTGCTGTAACTCCCTTATGAAGCTGAATACGACTTTGATTAGGCCACATTTGAAGTACTGTGTGCAGATCTGATCGCAACACTATAGGAAGGATGTGGAGGCTTTGGAGAGGGTGCAAAAGAGGTTTACCAGGATGTTGCCTAGATTGGAGTGTAATAGCTATAAGGAGAGGTTGGACAAACTTGGATTTTTCTGATAGGTAGTCCCTCAGCCTCTGATGCTCTGATAGAAGTATCTAAAATTGAGAAGCAATAATAGGGTGGATAGATGGAGTCTTTTCTTCCCCAGAGTGGAAATGTCAAATACTAGGGAGCATATGTTTAAGGTGAGAGGGGAAAATTTTTTTTATAGAGGGCGATAGGTGCCTGGAACTTGATGCCAGGGGAGGTGGTAGAAATGGATATAATAGCAATGTTTTAAGAGCAATTAAACAGACATGTGAACAGGCAGGGAATATGGACCATGTGCAAGCAGATGGGATTAGTTTAGAATGGCATTGTGGTTGGCACGGACAAGGGATGAGGGGCCTGATCAATGATCTTTGTAAGCCTGTTCCCCACAGTGAATACATTGTATATAAATATGGCATTACTACCCCTCTTAAACAGGATGATTTTTTCAGCCCAATACCAAACATCCATGAAGTAATGTGGGCTAGCAGCCGGAAGAAACTGAAAAGCTGGAACTAAATAGCTGATACCATGCTGCCAGTAAAAAGCTGGAACTAAAACCACACCTCAGTGCACAAGGGGAGAATTCAAATTCCTGGGCATCATAACCAGTTTTGGGGGAGGAAGGACCAGTACAAACCAGACAGTCTGCACCTGGGCAGGACTGGAACCAATGTCTTGGGGGGAGTGTTTGCCAGTGCTGGTGGGAGGGTTCGAACGAATGTGGTAGCGGGATGGGAACCAATGCAGGAACTTAGGGAAGTAAAGTGGGGACAAAAACAAAAGACGGGAAGGGGGGAAAGTGAAAGTGGAAGGCAGAGAATCCAAAGACAAAAATCATAATTCTAAAAGGGCAAGAAATCTGAGTCTGAAGGCTCTGTCTCAATTTGAGGAGCATTTGTAATGAGGTGGATGAATTAACTCTGCAGACAGTTAATGGGTAGGTTGTAATTGGTATCATGGAGACCTGGATCCAGGGTGACCAAGATGGGAACTCTATGTCCAGGGTTATTCAATTTTCAGGAAAGATGGACTGAAAGGAAGGGGGGTGGGGTAGCATTGCTAGTTGAGGAGTTTAAGACCATAGTAAGGAACAATGTGAAATCTGCATGGGTAGAGCTGCAGAACACCAAAAGGAAAAAAGCATGTTCGTGGGAGTTGTGTACAGACCACCAAACAGTAGTTGTGAGGTTGGGAATGACATCAAATGGGAAATGAGCGATGCATGCAGTAAAGGGTACAGTAGTTATTATGGGTAACTTCAATCTCCCATATTGATTGGACCAACCAAACTGGTAGCAATGCAACAGAGAAAATTTCCTTGCTTGTATGTCCAGAAACCAACTTGAGGGCAAGCCATCCTAGACTGGGTATTGTGAAATGAGAGAGGATTAATTAGCAATCTTGTGGTGCAAGATCCTTTGGGAAAGAGTGACCGTAATAAGGTAGAATTCTCCATTAAGATGGAGAATGACAGTTAAATCTGAGACTAGGGTCCTGAACTTAAAGCTAACTTTGACAGCATGAGCCATAGGGTCCTGAAGTTAAAGAAAGCTAACTTTGGTATAAGGCATGCATTGCTAGGATAAGCTGGCCAAAGATTTTTTAAGGGGTTGACAGTAGATAGGCAATGGCAGACATTGAAAGAACACTTGGATGAACTTCAACAATTGTACATCCCCGTCTGGTGTAAGAGTAAAACTGGAAATCAGTGTTTAAAGCCAAAAAGGAGGCATATAAATTGGCCAGAAAAAGCAGCAAACCTGTGGTCTGGGAGAAATTTTAAAATTCAGCTGAGGGGGAACAAAAGATTTAATTTGGAAAGGGGAAAATGGAATATGAAAGGAAACTTGTGGAAAACATTAAACTGACTGCAAAAGCTTCTATAAAAATGTGAAGAGAAAAACACGAGACAAATGTAGGTCCCTTATGGTCAGAATCGGGTGAATTCGTATTGACGACAAAGACCGCAAACCAGTTGAACAAATATTTTAGATCTGCCTTCACTAAGGAGGACACAAATAACTTTCAGAAATGTTAGGGGACAGAGGGTCAAGCATGAAGGAGGAACTGAAGGAGATCCTTAGTAGGAAATGGTGCACATTTTTTGATCACTTTCCAGCATTCTGTAGACTGAGTTCCAGTGGACTAGACGGTAGTTAATGTAACCCCACTTTGTAAAGAAGGAGGGAGAGAGAAAACGGGGAATTATAGGCTAGTTATCAGTGGTGGGGAAAATGCTGGAGTCAGTTATTCGGGATGTAATAACTGAGCATTTGGAACGTGGTGACAGAATCATCCCAAGTCCGCATGGATTCACTAAAGGGAAATCATGCTTGACAAATCTTCTGGAAGTTTTGAGGATATGACCAGTTGAATTATCAAGGGTGAATCAATAGATGTTGTATATCTGGACTTTCAGAATGCTTTTGACAAGGATCCACATGAGATTAGTAAGGAAAATTTTTAAAGCTTATGGTTTCAGAGGAAATGTATTGACGTGGATAGAGAACTAGTTGGCAGACATGAAGTAGAGTTGGAACAAATGGGTCCTTTTCAGAGTGGCAGACAATGATGAGTGGGGTACCGTAAGGTTCAGTGCTGGGACCCCAGCTATTCACAATATACACTAATGATTTGGACGAAGGAATTGAATGCAATATCTCAATTTGCGGATGACACTAAGCTGGGTGGTAGCATGTGCTGGTGAAGAGGCTGTAGGCTGGCTGAGTGGGCAAATACTTGGCAAATGCAATATAATGTGGATAAATTGAGTTTTGGTAAAAACAGGAAGGCAAATTATTATCTGAATGGTGGCCATTTAGGAAAAGATGAGGTAGAACGAGACCTGGATGTCATGGTTCAACAGTTGCTGAAAGTTGGCTTGCAGGAGCAATGAGGAAAACTAATGGCATGCTGGTCTTCGTAGTAAGAGGATTCGAGTATAGGAGTAGGGATGTTTTGCTGCAGTTATACAGAGCCTTGGTGAGGCCACACCTTGAGTAATGTTTCCAGTTTTGGCTGTGTAGTCTGAGGAAGGACATTCTTGCTATTGAGAGTCCAGTGAAGGTTCACCAGACTGATTCCTGAGATGGCAGAATTGATGTATGAATGACTGACTGCTTCAACTGGGCTTATATTCACTGGAATTTAGAATTGGGTGGGGGAGGTTGCAGAATCTCAAACATACAAAATCCTGATGGGACTGGACAAACTAGATGCAGGAAGAATATTCCCAATGTTGGGAAGTCCAGAACTAGGGATCACAGCCTAAGAATAAAGGGTAAGCCATTCGGGATTGAGATGAGGAAGAATTTCTTCGAGACTTGTGAATCTGTGGAATTTTCTATCACAAAGCTGTTGGGGCCAGTTCATCAGATATATTCGAGGGAGTTGGACGTGGCCCTTACCGCTAAAGAGATCAAGGGGTATGGAAAGAAAGCAGGAATGGGATGCTGAAATTGCATGATGGTCCATGATCATATTGAATGGTGGTGTAGGTTTGAAGGGCTGACTGGCTTACTTCTGTATCTATTTTCTATGTTTACTGTCTCTGCATAATTGTTGAACAAAATCAGATTGTATTTTGCTGGTACCTTTTTCAGAAAGGTGTTTGGATGAATTTGATACTATTGCATATGTGCCTATATACTTCTGAACCTGTATGTCATTCCACCTTGTATGCAGGACATGCTGAACATGATCAGGTGGATTGTACAAGTCTCCATTTGTTTTATAGTACATACAGGGCATTAGTGAGGCCACACCTGGAATATTGTGTGCAGTTTTGGTCCCCTTCTATCAGAAAGGATTTTCTTGACAGTGCAGCAAAAGTTTGCCAACTTGATTTGTGGGATGGCAGGACTGCCATGAGGAGAGATTGTGTTAATTGGGATTGTATTGACCTGGAGTTTAGAAGATTGAGGGTGGATCTCAAACTTATAAAATTCTAACAGCTTAGACCCGTTAGATGCCAGAAGGATGTTCCTGATGGTGGAGGATGTCTAGAACCAGGAATCGTGGTTTAGGGATAAGGGGCAAATATGGTAGGACTGAGATGAAGAGAAATTTCTTAAGTGGTGAGCCTGTGGAATTCACTACCATAGAAAGTAATCGAGGTCAAAACATTGTTTTAAAGAAGCAGCTAGATATCCCTTGATCCCTTTAGCCAGGAGAGGTATATGGGGTTGGTGCAGGTTTAGGGTATTGAGTTGGATGATCATGCTAAATAGCAGATCAGCCTCAAGGGGTCGAAAGGCGTACTCCTGCTCCTATATTCTATGTTTCTATGTCAGCACAGCAAATATTTTATTAAACAACACCTATGGGACCAGGAGCATGCTGGTTGATCAAATATTCTGGATAATCGAGAGGTATTTGCAATCGCAGGAAACCCTAACCAAGTAGGGCTTCATGACATCGACATCCCTTTCAAAATCCATGCAAAAGCACACAGTAAGTATTAGAAACTTAATGCAGGGGCATACACATCACTGTTATACTTTACTTACTGCAATCTACCATATTACACTGTATTTGAGGTATATAATTGTTGCTGGTTTATCAAGAGTGCTGGTTGATAAGGTGCCGGTTTAAACAAAGCTTGCTGTGTATCAATATTGCAGTATTAAGGTGTAGTTGATTCATATCAAGTATGCTAAATGCCTTGCTGACTTTTACCTCTATTTTTATTTCTTTCCCTACAGGCAATCCAATCCTGCTATTACAGAGTTCATGCAAAAGCAAGGCTTTGGAAGTGATTACAGAAAATTGGAATCTTTTTATATCCAAAAGTAAACATTCTTTGCCTTTAGATATGTAATATTTGATATTACAGGCCGTGTATTCATGGTACTCATTTTCGCCACTGCTTGCTGTCTTGTGCTTTCCTTGTTTGGGTATTCATAGGAGCTTTACACTTTTTTTTTTTTTTTTTTTTTTTTTCCCAGTTTGGAGTTGTCTAACATCCATTCTTTTGATTTGCATCCCTCTCCCCTTCCTCCAAACACCCCTTTCAGTAGCCTCTCATGCCATTAGAATATGGACAGTCCTTTTGTTTTCTTTGCCTTTATCTCCACTATTCGCTGATCTTTCCTTCTGCACAATCCTAAGAATGCCTTTGTCTTTGTCTTTGCTTTTGTTCTTGAATTGTTCTTCATCCTTCTCCAGAACCTCCTAGTCCTGTGGAAGTCCATTTTCTCCAGGTTCACATTCCAACCTTTTGTAAAATGCTGCAAATCGCACTTGATAATTCTGAAAACATACAGAAAATAAAAATTTCATTTAGTATACATTAGGATGTGTACATTCTATTACATTTGTGAACAGGCTCTTGCTACAAACAATGCAAACTATCTACTTTTCTGATTTTAATCTTGCTAACTGAATTGTGATCTACTTATACTTTGTAATACTTCTGGTTATTTGCCACGTATCTCAAACTATAGGAGGAGCCTATCCAGGCCAAGCTTTTTTGACCAAGGTGCTTTTCTTTTAAAGAAAGCAAACTTACTTTTTTTTGATCTTGCTCTCATCCTGTTTTGATACTTCCCAAGTACTGTTTTTCCCATGTGGAAATCCCTCAATTCATTCTACATTTCACATTCTTTGAAACTTTTTTTCCCTGCTTTGTTTGAGTTGTAGGATTTGTTCTTGATTTCTCAACTGCAGAAAGAGTTGACCTTTTATCTGTCCTTTCAGTTCCCTTCCTTCATTACTTTAAAGATTTTAACTGGATCTTTGGGTATTGGTGGATATAACACTAGTTTACTCAAAGCTTTTCAAACAGTTTTTGGTGCTTTAATTTTAGAAAATGTATCAAGACTGGATGAGCATGGAAGTAGGATGTGTTGGTTAGAATTTTAGTAAAATATTAGTTATCAACTTGGTTATGAGGTTATAAATGTGAAAGGAGTTTGAGGGTTCTTGGCTGTTGAATACAGGCAATATCAAACTGAAGTGGAGCTTTTGAAATTAAGTGGCTAAATAGGAGGCAACAACATTTGAAAGGAAAGCTCTGGTGTAATCTTGGTAGTTTACAATATATTGCAATGCTGTGACTAGGTGTTTCTTCATCCCAGACCTAGCTCATCATTTCTAGGCAGTTAAGATCAGTAAATCCTGACATGTCATACCAAAACTAAAACTTCCAAATATTACTTCACCAGTACTTAGTTTTGCAGTAGTGCTTCCTTTTTTTTTTTTCTGTTCTATGAAGCCTAGAAACTCATTTTTGGGTGATTTGAAATAGCAAGTCACTTTTTAAATACTATTGCAAGTGGACCCTTAAATATTGACCACTATTTCCTTTTTGGGTTTTGGATTTTACTCCCATCTATCATCTTTATATCCAAATGTATTTAATTGCATCTGATATTCTGCCCACTGACTTCTTCAGTTTATGTACATTATTTCTTTTACACTTAAAATCACACTGTTCTAAAGATGTGGAATCTAAAATAATTGTTGCATTTAGTAACTTAAATTTATGTTGTAGGAAATTTTGCATCAAAAGAGAATATTGGGCTATAATTTGCTGTAGAAGGACATCTAACTTCATCTGCTATTCATTTGACCTGCCGACCTTGCATGCTCAGGATTTTCCATTTCTGTTTGCATGGAAAATAGCTAAGATGCAAGCATACTATTGAAACTTGATTTGAAACAAACTTGGGCTCCATCTGAAGTGGCCAAGTAGTGGTGTGTCTTAACTGATCACCTTTAAAGGATTGAGACTCAATATAGATTTGAGTGGGTGAATTCAATGACAAACCAAATTCAAGAAAAGATTGTGTGAAAGGGACAACAGTAGTTATTTGCAAATGTGTATAAATTGAATTGTTGGAAAGTTATGAACTAACACCTGAAGGACTGTGACTCCAGACTTGTAATATATAACTTCCAGTGTCAGATGTTGACTAGAATCACTTGCACATTTTAATCATGTTGAAATCTTACTTCTTCCAAGTAAGACCTGAGCTTCTTTGGCAAGTTTCATTTGTACCTGCTGCAGCTTTACACCATTCAATATGTTTCAATGTTGAGGCAGGATAAATGAGTTATATTTTGGAGACAGCAATTTTTAGGTGAGTTTAGTTTTTCTACTTTTTGCCTGAAATGGCTGTACAATTTATGATGTGATTGCCATTTCATCAGTGTTTATTTTAGAGTATTAATGTAGTTTTAAACAAACCAAGTTTTTAACTTCACATTTCCCAGAAGTGATATAAGGAACCTGACTATTTGTAATCCAAAAGGCAAAGTTGTGCAAATGTTTCCTGAAATCAATATTGTAAATACACAAGCACCTGTTGATGACTTTAGTTTTTTTTTTTTTGCATATCAATATACTGAATTTTGTGTACATTTACTTCCAGTGTTCTGGATATTGTAACAAGTCATATGAAAGGCTACATGGTCTGGCAGGAAGTCTTCGATAATGGAGTGCAGGTATGTATATATAGTCAGCTTAGTCTGTATTTATTTGAAAAACCCAGAAGCAAGGCAGAATGACTGATGTTTCCAGTATCTAAAGCATTGACTCAGTGGTGGAACTGTACTAGTCTGAATAATGGAACTTAAAAGAGCAGTTGTAGGTAGAATGTTAAATTTTACAACCTGTTTCGTGGTAATTACTTCCAGAAATTGAAATAATTGAGCTTTGGGCTTTGAGCTTTGATATTTCATGTTCTGTGTCTTTGTCTTTTCAGCTTCTGCTGTTGCACTTGGTAATGCATGGCCTGCTTGTAGCTTCTTGATCTTGCTTTATTCATAACGATTCATGGTATTAATTTCTCAGAAAAACATAGTTAAGCAACTTAATTAAACTAAATATTTGTATTCTTAAACATAACATGAGTTCTTAATTATATTATTTTAAAGATTCCTCAGCAACCTTTTGCTTCAGAGATAATATGGTACCTCTTGAATTCCCAACCATGCATGAGGTCTATACATGCAGATAGTGAGTTTATGCACATCTATCAAATTCCATACATGTTGTTATGGTAGTGTATCATTTTCCTGTTAATTTGCATCAGTTAGCCAAAGACAATGAATCATCCAAGTTTCAGTTGAATTTTTATTTTGTTATGGAAGTGTCGTTAGAGTCATAGTTATACAACACAAGGCCCTTCCACACATCAAATCTGTGTTGGTAAGAAAAGGAATGTTTAAGTTCCTGCTGAACCTGTTTTGACTGCATCAAAAAATAGATGTCCCTCTCCTGTCCAGCCAGTTTTGTTTAGTCCATGACCCCTCTGGTGACCGACCCACCTATGAGAGGGAGTGCTTTCTCCCTCATTCCCTTGATCAAAATCACCCCTTCACAATTTTGACTGTCTTGGTTCAATCGGTCCCTTCACCTTTTGACCCCATACCAGAAAAGGCTTTGGCCTTGTCAGTGCTAAGAGACGAAGTCCATAGGCTTCACCACATTTAACCATACCTTTTTAGCACTTTTAATTTTTTAATGGATTTAAGTTTTAACTGAGGAAACTAGTGAAAATGTACTACTGGAGGGGAAGAAAATGAAACTGAAAGTTGATTGTTGGATCTGTCTCCCAGAGTTTTGAAAGATGTGACTATATAGAAAGTGGATATGATGGTGATAATCATCTTTCAAAATTCTATTGATGCTAGAAATGGCTCTTGCAAATTGGAGATTAACAATTGTAACACTACTATTTAACAAAGGAGGGAGGGAGAGAGAAAACTGAACTACAAATCAGCTAGCTTGGCATTAGTAAAATAAATTCTGAAATCTATTATAAATGTTATAGGCAGACACTTGGAAAGGTATGGTAGGATTGGACTAAATCAGCATGGATTTATGAAATGGAAATCATGTTTGACAAATCTGTTGGAGTTTCTTAGCATGTAAAGTGGATGTGCTGTAATTGAATTTTTAGAAAGCCTCCATTTGAGTTCTGCACAAGAATTTGGTAAGCAAAATGTGATTAGTAAAATATGGGATGGGGAATACATTATTATGGATTAAGGATCCATTAACAAATTTTAAAGGAATAAAGAGGATCTTTCTCAGTTTGGAACTGTAAATAGTGTGATACTGAAGGAATCAGTGCTTGGGCCCCAGCTCCATTCAGAATACTTCAAGTTTGCACAACCCTAGGTGGGAATGAGTTGAGTAGGGTGCAAAGAGACTTCAAGGGAAATTTGGAGAGTGGGTGTGTGGGTGAAATTGGCACATCAAAACTTACCAATGGACCTGTGTGTCCTTGCCCATTGCTCACTAAAAATGCAGGCACAGTGAGCAGTTAGCAGGTAAATAGCATGTTGGCATTTTATTGCAAGAGGATTTGCACACAGGAATAAAGAAATCTTGCTGCCAATTATATAAAGCCTTAATGAAACTGAATCTAGGATTTAGTATTTGCAGTTATTTTGATCTGCTTACATAAAGATATATTTGCTGTAGAAGGAGTGCAACATAGCACAATTTTGCATCTCAGGAAAGACTGAACCTATAAGGAAGCTTAGCCTATATTCTTTGGAGTTTAGAATAATAGGAGGGGGTGCCTTGAAACGTGAAGAATTCTTCCAGGGTTTGAGAGGACAATTAATATACAACTGGACTTGCAGGTACTTCTTTCTGATTTCTTGAAATTGACTAACATACAAATTAAGTATGTGGCCCTTTGAAACAGTTCTGCCATTCAGTAAGATCATGGATCTGATTATTCCCACGCACACCACAATAAACAGTCAGCTCATTGCTCGTCAAGAATTTATCTGGCTGTGCCTTTTAAAAATGTTAATAACTCTACTTCTACTGCCTTTCGAGAAAAAGACCCTCTGAGGAAAATGTATCTTTCTTTCTCTTCTGTTCCCCACCTCACCCTCTCTGCTCGTGCTGTCTGCTGTCTTCCTCAGTTTTGCCCCCCCCCCCCCCCCCCACTTCATTTTGTTAGTTCCGTTTGAAACTTCAAAATATCGATTTGCATGGTGTCACCTGGAAGTAGTGCTAAGCAGGAAAGAAAGATTTGAGTAGTTCTAGCAATGACACTTCAGTTGTGTGTTGGGGAAACTGGGATTGTCCTCCCTTAAGTAACTCTTAATCATGATGGATCTAATATAAGCTGGTAGAGGGAAGCACCTCCGTTAGAAGTTGGAGTCAGAAGGCACAGATTAGTTCATTTGCCAGGCACCTTCAAAGCTGATATAAAGGACATTATTTTTAAACAGCAAGTGGTTCTGAAATGGATTGCACTGCCTGCAATGCTAATAAAGGCTGACTGACTGAACTGTGGCTATCCAAATCCAATAAACATCTGCCAGTGTAAATGTTTGCACATTTGTGAGGAAAATGCAGATAGTGGGCCTCGCTGAATTGCTCTTGATGAGGTGATAGACCAAATGATCTCCCTCTAGTCTGTAACCATTCTATCATTATATGTTGTGCCATTATTAACTTGGTTGCTTTTATTTTAAGAGCCTCTTCAACAGTCCTGCAGTTGGATGTTGATGCAGTTTAGTTTGTCCTGTTCAGGGTAAAATCTGTTCTTGAAGCTAGCCTAAATGTGACCAGTAGTCCAGTTAATTGCTCTGTATAGTGCAAATTTTACATTAATATTCAAATTTTTTTAACATTTAAATTGCATGTACAATAAAACAGCAGAGTACTAGACTACTGCTTTTACTGTGGCTGCCTTGCTAATCAATTCAATCAATAGATTTTGGGGCAAATTTAAATTGAAGGGATTAAATTTTCACCTGATAATTTGTACTTAGCACACAGATTTGTCTTCAATGGTAAACCTTTTATTTAGATGAAAGTACTTGCATGCTAATTATAGTTGGCCACAAATTTTAAATGTACTTACTTTTGCAGATTAAGCCAGACACTATAGTTGAAGTGTGGATGGAGAAAAATATGAAAGCAGAGTTATCTAAAGTAACACTAGCTGGGTTCACAACCATTCTTGCAGCACCCTGGTACTTAGATTACATTTCCTATGGACAGGACTGGCAAAAGTACCATCAAGTTGAGCCTCTCCATTTCAACGGTTGGTTACTTTTCACTTACTAAAATTAGGAATGATAATGCTGTAGAATATTTTGTCCCTCCCTAATTACACACTGCTGAATCCAAAATTCCTCATTTTAATTATTAAATATATACTTTAATGAAAAATAAGTTTACTTGATAAGTTTAACTTCCTTTATCATTCCGTTAATACCATGTTCCTTGCATTTGTGTTGCACCTTTTCTGATGATCACCTGCAGATTAAATTTTTTTACCATGGCCTGAAGCAGTAAAAATTTTAAATGATCACAAATCTGTGGTACCTTCTATACTGGTGTATGTTTCGGAACACTAAATCTCTGCTTATGATTTCCTTCAACTGTTCTGCTTTTATAGTGAAACCTTGCTGTTTCCTGGTTGAGCTACTTTGAGCCAATTCATGATGTAATTTAGTTGGATGCTTTTTATTGGACTCTACATTACCTGCTGTTTGCATGTCTGACTTAATTTTACCTACTGAAGTGAAGCGATTTAGGGAGTAGTAGTGTATTTAACAAGTGTTTTAGTCCACATCCTATATTTCTAAGATCTTGTATAACGATATTTCAAGTTAGAACTCAGACTGAAATTGTGATGTTGGGTTTCTTGTCTTTGCACTTTTTTGGTTTGTAGTTGAAGCCGGACACCATTATCCATGTGTGGAAAGGTGGCTACCAGCAGCAAATGGCAGCTGTAACACTTGCTAAGTTTCATGCTCTTCTGTCCTCTCCATGGTACCTGAATGTCATTTCATATGGCCAAGACTGGCGGAAGATATATGCAGTGGAACCATACAACTTCAATGGTGTGTTGTTACAACTGTCCACCTACAAGAACATTTTATCTGTACTCTTCCTACATTAAATGTTTTAGCCAACTGTTATTGAGCTTCAAACTACACAGGTTTTTTAAAGATGATTAGGACATAGAATATCTTAGTGAAAATAATGATTTAAGGCGGCCAGTAATATTTTCTTAAACCAGTGGTGACTCAATTGGGTTAAGTGAGCAGAGGAGAGAAACTGTTGCCCTTTGAGAAGTTTCCAGCTATTTTATTTAAGTTGTTTGGTGGGAAATGAAACTGCAGAGAAACACTCAACAGTTCATTTTCTAACCATGCATTTCAAATAACCATTCAACTTGTGTTTTTGCTTGCTCTTTGGAGAAATTTTTGATTCCTTGAAGTTCTGCATTACTTGCCAGTGCCTTCCCTTTTCCATATGATATCCAATCGATCTGTTTTTCACATTCCCATTCCATCTATCTCATCTCAAACTTTCAGCACCTCTTTCTTTCTCCCTCCACATACTCGTCTTGTTTCATCTTTCAATTTTGTAAGTGTAAGCAGCAAGAAATTACAACCATCTTCCCCATGAGATTCACTTCCACTCTAGTGGAAAAATATCAATCCTTGGTCATCGTGAGCAATAGGTTACCATGAATCGTAGAATGCCACCTCCAATAAGTGTTGTTGTTCTCTTTGTTTCAGCATCAGAAATATTTGTTGTATCTCTCCCGTTTTACTTGACCATTAATATATGTACTGGGGTGGGAAGCATGTTGTTTAGACTGTCTTCAACAGAGGGCTTTTCTTCTCCTGAAGGTGTCCCTCATTATCCATGCTAATTCAATATTACTACTTAATTTCATATTCATCCAAGCAACAGTTCTTACTTTTATAATGCATTGCTCATGTCTGAAATATTACACAAAGTCCATGGTGTCAGACAAAAGGACTTTTGTATCAAGCCCAGAGTAGCCAAAAGCTTGCTTACTGTAGAGGGGCTGGTGGTAAGGCTTGGGAAGGTGTTTCCAAGCATTAAGTCTAAATATTGGAACATTTTGAGATATGAGAACAATAGATACTGAGAATAGATTCCAAACCAGTTAGAGGTCTGAAATCAAAATACATCTTGTATTTTGAGAAGTTCTTAACTTCCTCAGTCTTTCCCCACTAATCCTATGCCAGCATGACAGGTTCTCTCTCTCTTTATACATATCCAGTGTAAAGTAGGAAAGCCAGTGAAGAAAGCATGCTATTCTAATATTGCAATGCACAGATCTCTCCAGGTTCATTAACACTACTAGGAAGCAATTACCTCAAGTGAAATTCTATATTTGTAGAACAGTGGATTACAACATGCAACTTTCTGTAAGGCCTTGGCTCATCATTTCTTTCAAATGGATGTCTGATGAAACTTTAGAATAGGTACAGAAGAAGTTTCAGGTGGAAAGGACAAGTTGTGAAGGAATTTAAGTATCACAATTGAGAATTTTACATTTCAGGCATTGACTCCATATCCCACATCAGCAAGGAAAAGGGTGTGGGTAAGCAGGACTTGATGCAGTCGAGTTGTGAAATGTGGAGGTTTGAGTGAGCTGTGAAGAATGTATGACTAACGTATAACCACTAAAATATTTGAATGTAGAGGTGTCTAAAGTATGGATGTGAGTTTTGACTTCAGATGAGCCAAGGTAAAAGTGGCAGTCTTCTGTGGGGATGGGGTTCATGTTTGGTTTAAAACGATGCAGAGTATGCAAGAGAATTTCTTTTCTTTTGCATTTTTTTAAATTTGAATCAATAACATAGAACCAGCATTTAAGTGCTTGACTTTTGGGTTTTAATTTTTTTTTCCATTTGGAGGATTTACCATTTTCCAAAAAATGCATACTGCCACCATTTTTGTAAATCTGTTTCCACATTTCCCCACAACTTTCACCTTTTACTACCACCTAACTTAAATAATTTGCCTGTGGCGTTTTGAGATGTTGACTATGTAACCTTTTACCAAACTAAATTCAGCCAAGCTTGCTTTCTTTTTTTGGAATGCCAAACTGGCCAAAGAGCATGTTGAGAAGCTCAATATTCAGTAACATTTACTCCTTGAAGCAAGTAAACAACTGAATAGGTATTCCCTTGTTGGGTGGCAGAAAAGTGTCTGGAGTTGGATAGAAAACACTTGAATCTCACCTGCTTATTGCCGCTATCTCTTGCAGCAACCATGCAAAAAGTAAATGCAATAGAATTGAGGGGGGAAAAAATCATTCCACATATAGAATGAATAAACTGAGGCAGTCCAAACCCCTGCTTCATAAAACTCCAATACTATGTCAGTGATTTGTAGAGTTTAATGAACTCTATCCAACAATGCATGATTTATTTGGTACAAAATGCAGTTGACACTTCTGTAAATTATGGAAGTCTGCACTCTGCAACATGATGTAACATTTGATTATTGAAGTATTCATTGTACAGTCTCTTTTATTGTATTCTTTCTGTAATATTCAGAGGCAAAATCATTTGTTTTATTTGCATGGCTATCATAATTGACACATGTTGCATATTCATTAAAAAAAATTATGGAACATTTTGGAAAACTTTGATTTCAATTTCTCATACTTCCACCTTTTACCATTTAAATCCATAAACCTATGGTAAGTTTTTTTTTTTTAAGTTTTTTGATTAGGTCAGTGAATTTCATCTTTGTATTTTGTTTTGTGGTATGTTGGATTTTTTAAAAAAAAAGAAGAAAAATTCTATAAATATTGGTACTTTTTTTTTATATAATGAGTCTACAACTAGCACTATATATTTTTGAGTCAGTTAAAAATGTTGCATACGTGTTTGGACAGCATCTATGGAAAAAACAGTTGACCTAACTGAGATGTTAACTTTTTTTTTCCACTGCGTTGATGCTGCATGATTTTTTTTTTCCCAACTTCTTTTTTACTGCAAATACTACTAATGTGAAATATTTAGTTTTGGTATCCATTTAGTATTCTAAAGATGTTGAATAGTTTGATTTGTTCCACAAAATGGTTTATGGTAATTGTTCTGCCAACCCATTCTAAAGGTCTACTTAATTGCTTGAATAATTGAATCAGACTTTTTTTTTCTTGGTGATTGTCTCTTTTGTAATCTTCCCTTGTTTTTAAAAATTGCAGGAACTGCAGCACAGAAGAGGTTGGTAATTGGTGGAGAGGCTTGTCTCTGGGGTGAATACGTGGATGCAACCAATCTTGCCTCACGATTATGGTATCAAAACTTTCTGCCGCTACTATAGTTTCCTCCAATCCAGAGTTGAAGTCAACTTTTTGTAATTTTTAAAACCTTTCACAATACAATACAGTTCACCAATAGATTTAGTTATGATTTTATTACACTGTTCAGATTTTCATTAGGTTTTTCTCCACAATAGTTGGTAATGGACAACAAAATGCCTGTAGAATAAGATTTTTTTGGCACTTTGCCAGTTCACATTTTGCTAGGTGGAATTGATAAACTACTGATGATTAACTTACTCTTCTGGAGAAAATAGGATTTAGAAGTTGCATATTGTTGCTGGTTGTGAAATTCCTGGCATCTCAAAATCCCTCCTACAGATCTTGTATGACTCTGTAGTATGATTCTGATGGGAAATCGGTTCTGGCCATTATAATATGTCATTTTGATTAAAATTGGTTGTTTCTGGGGGCATAGTCTGAATATGTGCAAGTTTTGCCACATCTCCTTGACTGAGAGGACATTAATGTTTTGAAATGTGGTGTATTCAGAATGCAGGCTTTTTACTTGCCATGTAAAACACCAGATTCCCTATTAACATTTCTGTTCCCATGCTTCCCTTCTGTTTCTCCTTTCATTTCTTTCCCACCCCCCACCCAGCAAGTCTGCAAGATAGAAACCTATTACAAGTATCTTGAAGATTAAGGAGCTTCAAAGAGATTTTGTTTTTGACTTGCTGTTTTTTAATGTAGTACTGAGTCTGGAATAAGCGAACAAATCCTCCCAGAGTAAAGTGGAGTTTTGTTAGTTGCTGAAAGCTTAAGATTTCCAACTTGGATTCATTTCTGGAAAATTTTATGTTTGTCTCATTCATAATTATCTGACATGCAGTTTTAAATACACTTTTTTATTCTATTCCCCATGATTTGATCCAAAGAAGGATTTAAAGAAAAATATGAATCCTCCAACTGAGCTACCAATTGTCATGTGATCAAATTAAAAAGGGTGAGGATAGAAAAGAGCATGGCAGATATATAATGAATAGAGTATGATGGAGCATATGAACTTGGCGTGCACTAGCAAATAACAAAATTTTCAAGAATGATGAGTCACAATTCCCTCCCTAAGAGCACTGGGACAACGTACAGAATGTGGACTGCAGCAGTTCAAGAAAATAACTCTATCACATTCTCCAAGGGCAACTAGTAACCAGCAATAAATGCTGGCCAGCCAGAGATGCCCATGTCTGACAAATGAGTTATTTTTTTAAAAAAAAAACTTAAAGGCTCTGTATCTGAATTGATGCAACATTTTGTAACACAAGTACACAGAAGTATAATCTGATGGCCATATCAGATGTGGTTATAGGGTAATCCAAGGGTCTGATCTAAATATTCCAGGCAGAACATGGTGCACCATCAGTTTGTTCAGGAGATAGTAAGAACTGCAGATGCTGGAGTCAGACAACAGTGTGGAGCTGGAGAAACACAGCAGGTCAGGCAGCATCAGAAGAGTAGGAAAGTTAATGTTTCAGGTTGGGGCTCTTTTTCAGAAATGGGGAGGGGGAAGGGAGCTGGGAAATAGAGGCGGGGAGGATGGCGATAGGTGGATGTGGGTAGTGGGGATTGGCTGGTAGTAAGGGTGGGGCGGATAGGTGGGAAGAAGATGGACAGGTTGTGCCAGGTCGAGGAGGCAGGGATGAGAGGGAGGGTTGGACATGGGACAAGGGCAGGGCTGGGGAGATTTTAAAACTGGTGAATTCTATGTTCAGGCCATCGGGCTGTAGGCTCCTGAGGTGGAATGAGGTGTTGCTCCTCCAGTTTGTGTCTGGCAACATTATGGTGCTGGAGGAGGCCCACGTTGGACATGTCAAGGGACTGGAAGGGGAGTTAAAATAGCTGGTGACCAGAAGGTGTTATTGATTTTATCACATACTGAGCATAGATGCTGCACAAAACAGTCCCCAAGTCTGCGCTTGGTCTCACCAATGTAGAGGAGGCCACACTGGGAGCAACGGATACAGTCTCCCACTGCGACCCTTCCTTTCTTCCCCCCCCTCCCCATTTCTGAAGAAGGGTCCCAACCTGAAACGTTAGCTTTCCTGTTCCTCTAATGCTGCCTGGCCTGCCATGTTTTTCCAACTCCACACTTATCTCCTGACTCCAGCTTCTGCAGATCTTGCTATCTCATTTCAAGGAGTTGGGTTTAGCACCTGGGGCTCTTTTTCCTGGTGATAATTTTCTCCAACAATGTAAACATATTATAACCAGTAACTGCTGATCAGTCTCTTGGGGTGGATGGTCCTAGGGTCATTTTTCTACAGTTGTGCATGTAGACATCAATGCATTGGTTTTGATCTTCCCAAATTCTGGAGATTCTGGAATGGTGCTGGCAGATGTAAGTGATTTAATTCACCTCAAGGAATCAAAGCTGAAAACTACAGAGGTAAAAGCAGAATGGTTTTTAAAAGTCATAATACTTAGGAGAATTGACATCACTTTGTGAAAGGGAAATTGCTGGTTAGACTAAGTTTATTGCAATTCTTTTGAAGAGCGACATGAATAAAGGGGAACTTGTGATCTGGTGTACTTGGATTTCCAAAAGGCATCCAACAAAGTGCTACATCAAATGTTACTGCACAAAATGATGGGTGTAATGAAGAGTCATCTGGACTCAATGTTAGTTTTTTTTTTTTTTTTTTTTTTTTTTTTTTGCTTGTTTGTTTTTCAGTACAGATTCCAGCATCTGCAATAATTTGCTCCTACAAGAGCTCATGTTGGTTGATGAGCTACCAGACAGGGAGCAAAGAGGAGGCAAATATGAACTTGTTCCACTTGGGCAAGAAGAACAGAAAAACACTATACTATTAACTTGAGGAAAAACTGCAGAAGTTGACATTGTAGAGGAACCTGGTTGTCCTGGTTCATGAACCACAGAAAATAGTGTGCAGGCACAGCAATTGATTAGAAAGGCAAATAGTATGTCTGTAGCAAAGGGAACAGAATTTACAAGAGAAGTTTTACTGCAGCTTTAGCATTGGTTAAAATGCATATGATTTTTGGTCTCTAACAATTGAGCAGGTTTTTTTTCAGCTGATTTTCTGAGCTGAAATGATTTATCTTGTAAGTTGGACATATACCCATTTGAGGTTCAGAAGAATGAGACGTGATCTTATTGAAACATGCATGATCCTAAATTGACTTGACATAGTGGACGCTGAAAGGATGTTTTTCCTGTTTGGGCAAGTGTAGAACAAGGAGACTTTCTTGAGGGCTGTTGACCTGTAGAATCCTCCCCCACCTCCCACCTCCCTCCCCCAAGAAAACAGTGGAGGCAGAATCATTGAATACATTCAAGGCTCAGTTAGACTTTGTTGAAGAATACAAGTTTTGTGTGGTATGGCAGGCAGGAAAGTAGAGGTCACAGTCAAATGGCAGGATACTATCCATTAATGTGGTAGGCTTGAGGGGCCAACTTCTCAATTCTTGCATTTTTGTACATATTCAAACTAGAGAGAAGACTGATCACTGATTTATTTTCCCTGAAGGCCTCGGGCAAGTGCTGTTGGTGAGCGTCTTTGGAGCACCGAAGCTACGACAGATATAAGTGATGCATACAAGAGACTAACCAGACATCGCTGCCGCATGGTCCGGTAAAAACTGATTTAAAATTTACTGTTCATTCAAGTATTTCTTATTGCACAGTTGTCTTCAGTTTTTTTTTTTAAATTGCCATCTTGTCAATTCCCACTACATCCACAGTAAACAAGGTGGTTCTAATTTGTATTTCAGCATTTGGTAATAATACTGATGCATTGGATCTGCTTATAAAGCAGATTGAAAGACTTTACTTTTGAAGCTGTTCATAAATTGCAGTGTTAGCACAAGCAACTGATCTTTCTCCCTCTTTGTTGCAGACGTGGGATACCAGCTGAACCACTGTTTGTTGGCCACTGTGATTATGAATACAGAGGGTAACAAAGTTCATCTGATCAAATGAAGCTTCTCTTGGAAAAAGAAAACTAGGATGCATCTTTTGTACTTTAAATACAAACTAGCATAACTTGAAATTAAATTTGATCAACAGAGGTTTTATAGAATTTTTTGTTTTGGAACAAGAATGAATGTTTTGATTTTTCTTTAAATGTCATTTGGAAGGACTATGCAATAAAGTTCTAAAATTCTATTTTAAAAATGAACTTTATTGTTTCCTTCTCTTGGAACTTTTTAAATGTTGTATCCAGTCAGTGGTGAAAATGTTATGATGTCTGTTAACTTTTTATCTTGCCAAAATCAAAAGCCTAAATTTGCTACATGACTAATATTGAGCTATACCTTATTTTGATATCTCCATGCTATATTTCCTCTATGCTTTTTTAAGAAATGGTTTAGGTTATGTATAACCTGACAATTTATAAAGATGCACTGTTGAAATTAAATGAAGAAAATAAATAAAATTTGATCATGTCCTCACTCTTAGTCAAAAACAGAAATTGCTGGAGAATCACAGCTGGTCTGGCAACATCTACAGAGACAAAACGGAGTTAACATTTCAAATCCAATGATTTTATTTTTATAATGCTTGCTAAGTAGTTATTGAGCTACTTCTAAAGTCCAAAAGCAAAAGCTTGGTAGTTTGGTAGTAGATGTTTTTGAAGCTCAACAATTTCAATAGAAATTGGAAAAATGCTGGAAACACTGTGGGTCAGGCTGTCTTTTGACAGTGTTTGAGATAGGCCAGTATTTATTGCCCTTCACATTAAACAAAAAAAGTTCTCTTTGAAAGCTCATGGCCTTAATGCAAGAACAGAGTCAGCTGAATCGAGGAAGCAAAGTATATTGTATGGGGAACACCAAGGAACCTGTTGACCAAGCAGAATTAACTTTAATATAATTGAAAAGGATTAGATGATGCTACTTAATCTGAAGAAAGAAGAATTCCAATAAGATGAAGAGAATTAGTT